GAATGAGGGAAGAATGGAGTGAGAGATCGACAGCCAGTTTGGTGCAGCATCAGCAGTTATGCGGACATTGTTCTGGTCTGTTGTGGTGAAGAGAGGGCTGAGCTGGAAGGGGAACCTATTAATTCACTGGTTGATGTGCATTCTTACCTGCATCTATAGTGACAAACTTTGGATAATGATCGAGAGAATGTGATAGTGGATAGAAGCAGCAGAAATGAGCTTCCTTCAGAGGGTATCTTGTCTTAGCCTTAGAGACAGGGTGAGGAACTTGGACTTTTGGGAGGAGCTCAAAGAAGAGCTGCTGCTCCTCCATATCAAAAGGAGCCAGCTGAGGTGGTTCGGGCATCTATTTAGGATGCTTCCTGGACGCCTCCCTGGGGAGGTGCTTCAGGTATGGCCAACCCAGAGAAGAGCCCAGGGCAGACCCAAATGCGGGAGTGATTATATCTCTTAGCTCTCCTAGGAACGGCTTGATATCCCCTTGGAGGGGCTGGAGGAGGTGGCTGGGGAGAGGGAGGTCTGGTTTTCTCTGCTCGCACTGCTCCCTCTGCAACCCAAACCTGTATGAGTGGCAGAAAATGGATAAATGGATGGACAGAATAAGCCAGTTAGTATGATTGTGCGATGCCTACGTGTTTGCAGGCAGCAACAGTACAAAAACAAAATGGACAGTACTGCAACTTAATGACTAGATCTTGAACCAAAAACTTAATTTATCTTTCTAATCAGTTATCTAACTTGGTAAAAAAAAAAATATATATGCCATTGAACTGCTAAAAATATTGCACTCATTTCATGTGGTAAATAACACATAGTCCATAGACAGATTGGCTATGCTGTCAAATAAACAATGTGCAGCAGTGCTTATGAGGAAGAACCGGTTCCTAAAAAAGGTTTTTCTAAGATTCTGTGGAAATGGTTTGATTTCGCAAAATCAAACATGTACCAAATCACTGCAGTTTGCAAACTTTGCAAAGATACTGTTTGTAAAACAGGTGGCAACACAACCACTTTCATTTATCTACTATTATTTGTTGTAAAGTGACTTCAGAAATGCCCTGTTACTGACCCAAGTGATACATGTTCATTTATACTCAGCTTTGAAACTGTATTACTAAAAAACATTAAAGCATTTTTGCTGTAATGATTAATTATTAATGAAGTTTATTATTATTATGGAACATGCACTGTTTCTGCATCAAAGTGGTTAATTGGTTAATTAACATATGTGCATTCATACACTGCAGTCTATATCGTGGGTTATGATTTTAACCAAAATTATTGTGACATGACATTTTGCCCATACCTTCCGTATTTCAAATTACTTTACACAAGAATCTTTGTAACTTTGTAAGAATAATTTTGGTCTGTGTATTAACGCTGAAGCAGCAGGGAAAGTTAGTAGCTTACCAGTTTTCCCTAATGTGTACTGTATCTACCTGTTATAATATTTACAAATGATAACAAGGAAGTTCTTGGTTTGAGACATGAGAGTTCAAACAAGCAGGCTCTTATGGAGTTTCTTTTGCTTCTGTTATTATTATTATTATCATTATTATTATTATTATTATTGTTATTGACATATTTTTTTATTATTATTTAGCACCTTTCCTACAGGAAATGTAGCTCAAAATGATTTACATAAAGGAAAAATGTAAAAAATCATCATACAGAATAAGCAACAATGTTACTGTAGATATCAAACTCATTTGACTCAATCTATTGTTGTGAATAAAAACCATATTAAGATTGTCTAGTCAAGGTCACAATTGCAATAATTGATTTTGGAGTTAAGGCTTGACAAGGTCTCAAACCAGTACAAAACCCAATCCAGGATCCAGTCCAGATCGTTGACAAAACCAGTCACCCTGCCCCAATATCCTCATTGATTTATTAATTCCAACTGTGTTCCATTTCCTGTTTGATCGGTTAAATAATAATTCTTACCAGAAATGAGGTCTAAATTGAGTTTCCTGTGTATTCAGCATTTCTCCCCGTGATTCAGCATTTCTCTCCCTGATTCAGTTCTTCACATGATTTCAGTTGTTAGTCGCCTTCTGCAGTTATTTGACTTTGTGATTTGAATTTTAATTCTGCTATTGTTCTGCAGCATTCTGTGTTTTTGATTGATTGCCCATTTATGACATGTGAGTTTTGAAACCTGTTTTAGCCTTGGTTAATAAGTGACCATGCAAATTGTCTGTGTCTGGATTTTCACCTACTTCAAGACAAGGCTTTGCTTTAACTGGAATGCATGTTTCAGAAAGACCATAGCAGATTCGATGTTAAAGAAATTTAAAATTGTTTATAATTATAGGAGACAGACTCAGAGACACATATAATCAGGAACACATCTTTCCTCCACACTGACAGTCAGTACTGACCTACCTCAGAACTGTCTGCTGAGTCACATCCTCTGCTTCCTTTCCTCATATGAGTGTATAAACCTCTGCTGCTCCAACTCAATATTAACAGTGAGACAAGCCTACAGGGAGGAAGCACAGAACCTGGCAAGCTGGTGTACAAATGACAGACTTACTCTTAATATACAAGCAAAACAAAGTAACTAACCATTGCCTTCGGATGGGGCAATATTATACATACCTCTGCATATAAATGGAGACCCAGGTTTCAGATTCCTGGGAGTCTCCATTTCAGATGACTTCATGTGCACACAGTGCTTTAGAAGCAACTGCAGTACCTTTACTTGCTGAGATCCCTCAACAAAACCAGTGTGAACACACAGCTATTGATGAGCTTTTATTGCAGCACCACTGAACATGTCATAACGCTCTGCATCACTCCCTGGAGAGCATCTACTCCAGCCATTGCCTTCTCGGAGCAGCCAGCATCGTTAGAGATCACACATACCCCATAAGCATCAGCAGATGGTACAGAACTATCCAGAATTACTTAGTTTACAAGCCGCATCGTCCACTCAGATCACAGAATGCTGGTTTCCTTGTTCCACACATATATAAAGTGAGAGTGGGTGGTAAAGCATTCTATTACAGGGCCCCTATATTTTTGAACAGTTTGCCAGCCCATGTTCAGGATGCCGATTCGACCTCAGTCTTTAAATCTTGACTGAAGCACTGTTACTTCAATTTAGCTTACCTGCAACCTAACACACCATAACCATGGATGTTGGTGCTGCGGTACATGCCATATTTTACCTACTATGCTTGTCCATTTATGTGTAAACGCATGTTCTGACCATCCATGCTCTCTGCCTTCCCACATGTCTGGGTGGTGCCTGGGGTGGGCACCATCTGAGCTGGAGTCCTGGTTCAGTCCCATGGAGGGGTGACATTGTGAATGGGACCTACGAACTGTATCATCGTGGGTGCAGCCTTCATGGCCACCTTACACAGGCCAGCGTGGAGAACAGACTCATCGATGGACTTTGTCTCGATCCTGAATCACAGCTTGCGCCTTTTAGCAAGCAAGTCCACTCTTTTCTGTTTTCAGTAATGTTAGTATGCCCGGGGCGGGGTTAGTTGGGCAGCCTGTTGACCCCTAGAGGTTTTTGTTCTCCTTACTTTGGAGTTTTTGGTTCCTCTCCTCCATTGTTGTATGGCTTTAATTTCTTTCCTTCCTTTTTCCCGTTCCGTATTACTCTCTCTAATGACGTAATGCAGGGGTGCACAATACGTCGATCGCGATCTACTGGTCGATCGCAAAGGTAGTGTGGGTAGATCGTATGGCATAAAATGGAGGGTGGATGACGCGTTCAACCGCGCCAGCTGCTGCAAATCTCTAGCAAGCTATACCGAGTCGCCTAGTTAGCCTCCAATTTATTTCTACTCAACTTAAGAAATGGCATAAAAATGAATGGGGAGCTGGACCAAGTAAGAAGCCAGAAATTTACCAGTTCCATACGGAATGGGAGGAGGGCTTTTTTCACAATGTCATATTCGAAGTGCGTTTGCCTCATCTGTCAGTCTATTGCTATTCCGAAGAAGGGAAATGTGGAGCGGCATTTTCGGACTGTTAATAAAAACTATGACATTAACTTCCCTCCGAAAAGCGAGCTGAGAAAGAGAAAGGTGAAGGAACTAAAATGCCATTTCAATTAAAAAATACTTTATTTATCCCAAACGGAAAATAATAATAATAATTAATAAAGAATACTCAATATAGCCTGTTTATAAATAAATATATGTTTTGCATTTTTATAGTAGGTAGATCATTTTGACTTGGTCATTTAAAAGTAACTCGCAAGCTGAAAAGGTGTGGGCACCCCTGATGTAATGTATCACATATTACATCTATGTAAACCGCCTTGGGACGATTCTGTTGTGAAAAGCGCCATATATGAAGATAAACTGAATTTAATATACAGCCACGTCTTTTTTGTGCCACTGTCTTCTGCACTGCTGTCACGTTCGCTCACCTGTTGCTACTGCCGACTTATTGTCGTATAACCTCATGGTCGTGCTCCCTTGCATATTTGCTTCTGTTTTTTATCCTTACTGTAAATTTCTTAATGCATATATATTTATATATATATTGCATATACTTTAGATTTTTAATTATTTTTTTCTCCTGCATTGCCACTGATCGATGTGACATGCCAAATTTCGTTGTACACTATATGGTGATAATAAAAGTATTCTGTTCTATGATGATTATGGTACTGGCACTTATTAAAAAATTAGAACAAATTTTTTTTCAGCAAATGTTTTTTTCTAAAATTAAGTCTTCTGCAATTTTGGGAATTAAGAGCATTCAGATCCATTCAAGAATGTGCTAGATCATTTATATGTTTGGGGCTCCAGATTCCACCCCTGGCGCTGTATGTGGGTGGTGTTGTGGTATTTCACCAGGTATTCACACATCCTAGTCCAAAAATCATTCTATTTGCATTGGATTCTGGACAAGAAGTCGGTCTATCACAGGGCACATACAGGCAGGTGCACGGGAAGTGGTAATTACTGTGGTGTCGGGAGCTGCTAATTATTATTGGACTGAAGGAAACGTCAACCCCTGTCCCGGGGAGTACGAAGCCACTCACTGAACCGAAACACTTCCGCACTGCTAAAATGAACTAAATCATTTAGAAGTTGACGGCTGATATGGGGTGTTTCCTGTGCTCGTGTTTACAGAGCGATCGGGTCTTCGTGATACAATATGATGTAGCCTTATGCTTTGAATGACATTTGTGTCAAATACGAAGCCAAGTCGGTTTCTTTATACTAGCAATTCAGATCAAAGTGCTTTAAAATAATCATTAGTCGTAGTGAACTACTTGCGAACTGTTCACGATTGTGAATAGGCTTGTTGATCATTAAGGAGGGAGAAACACGCAGCGTTTGCTGTGCCAGTGACGCATCATTAAGGAAGTCCGAGGACACAGAATCACGGATGCCGTGTCGTAAGTGCAAGCGAGCCGAGCTGCTGTAAGATTTGATGCCGTAACAAAACTACATTCAGGTAAAGTTTTATTGCGTTATTCTAGTTTTTACTGACTTAAGGTTTTCCGAAACCTCATCATTTTACGCTTCTTCTGTAATCTGTAGGGCTGTTGCAGGCAGTACCGTATATCGGTTTATTTCCGTTTATATCAAAATGAAGTGAACGATAGAATAAGGCTATTTTGGGCTTCCGTACGTCAATATTGATAACTTAATGTCCAGGCTGTGATGATTTTCAAAGACGTGTTTTAATACGCTATGAACATATACAGACGTAATTTAGCGCAAAATGTTGAAATTTTAAATTTTACACAAATTTGTGTAAAATCGACTCTTCCCTTGTGAGGACAGAAATGTAAAAAATAAAAAAGCTAAACATGACAGGTTTTCATCACATTAGGCGCTTCCACACTGCAGAAACTTTTTTTCAAGATCCAGAACCTTTTTCCGGACGCAGGAACTTTTGTCATATTCGCAATTCGGAATTCGGCCCGATTGTAGTTCCTTGGAGGCAGTTCCAGAACCCTTTTTTAGTATCTACACCCTTACTCGAAACACGAAATACTGGGGAGGCGCTTACAGCGATAAAATTGCTCAGATGGAAGTCATGCGGAAGACTCCGATAAATTTAAAGGCAGTTAGCTATTCGGGATTCCGTTGAATTTCTCTCTGCAGTGCAGTAAGGTGTACATAAGTAAACAGTGGCATTTTGTTATTCGTGATTGGTGAACTCAGATTACGTCATCCCCACGCCGATATTATACATCGCCTTTTTATTTTCAAACGCGAATAATAAAAAAACTTGACCCTATGAACAGGTCCAACCAGGCTCATAGCGACCAGACTGATCGTCTGGCGGTGACTGATGTGCGTGAGGCAGAAAGTGTTAAAAACATTTTCGACATTGGAACCCTATTTCCAAAACTCACTCTGTCACATTAAAATGCATTTGTGTTAGGCAAACTTTGATTTGTGAAAAAGTCACAAACATACATCTCAGCACATTAATTTGTTTATTTGTGCGTATTCCACTTCATTGAACTCTATGCCAAACTGGAATTGCAGGAGGTCAAATACCAAAACACCCAAAAAGTGACCCAGAAGCAGTAAACCAGGGTCATATTAATCAGTCTCATTTGTGAATTTTTCACAAAAAACTTGTGAAGGAAACATGAGCTCAGCCATGGAGGACTGGGGTGTGCTTTCTCTGACCTGATGCCTTTTATATTCAGAAATAGGAACTGCTGGCAGTATGACTAACAGCTGTGTGGACTCCGACTGTGTAGACTTTGCTACCATTATAAAAAATGAAATCTTCTTTGAAAGTAAGTCAACACAGAACATATTTAATGTCACTCGTCAGTTAAAGCTGTTATGAATGTCTATGCAGAATCCCCTTGGTGTACTAGATTTACCTAGATGACTACTTTTTTTTGGTACACGGCAGCTACCCCAATGCCCTGCCATGCAGTGGGAGTTTTGTACCAACAATTTGACACTAACAGACACTAAGTCAGCAGATTATGCGATTTATAGGCGTTATTTCTCACAATTAAGCTGTGTGCTTAACTGTTCCTCTTTTCATTCCATATTCCTGTGGATTCACTTGGAAGTAAAAGATCCAGGTAATATATGAACTTACCTCATTTTACTGCTAAATTTTATGCAGCCAGTAAAAGTTTCCAAATTCAAAGTATGAATTCCTCTGCACTCTTTATCTTCTGTCTACATATGTGTGCCATTTTCACATGGCTTTCCTATATGTTGATTTTTACATTAGAATTGCTAGGATCTCCATCGCTGTACAAATATTCACTTTTTTATTCGCAGCATATGAGGAAGATGCCTTTGCTGGGAGCAATAAACTCCTCACTAGTAGGATCCAGAACAAGAACGAACAATTTCTGGTGCTGGGGATAGATGGAGGTGAACGGCTTTTGGAATTTCGTCCCCTAACTGTGGAGGAGCTTAAAAGTGGTAAGACAAGGAGTTTAAAGCTCAGACTTTTTGTCCAGCTGTCTAAGGGGCTGGAAAGTGATGTTCCACATAAATTAAGCAACCTAACAATCAAACATTTCTGTGGCATTTACTTTTTATTTGCATACTTTCTTAATTTGAACATCTATGCTGATATTTTTTTCCCCTGTTCCTCAGCAAGCTGTAGATTCCTGATCCGACCCTTCAGGAACACAAACCCCTCTTCTGAGTTCCCTATTACACTGCAAATACTTTCTGAAGGAAAGACCTGGACTCTCTGGTGCCTTGATGAAGGTGGATCCAAGGTTGTTTATCCGAACCTTCAGGTCTGTTAGTCCTCATTTCCTTATTCACAAACATTTACGTTTACTTTAAAATTGCCATGGACATTAACAAGTCCTTTTCCTGGTGTCCAGGACCCTCCAGACAAGATTGAGTCCACTAAACACGAAGCACTGTTCTTTCTGATGAAAATCAAAGGGCATCGAGATTGGTACAGAGTGGCATCCTCCATGTGGCCAAGTTTCTTCTTGAGCTTTGAGTGCAAGCCACAAAAACTTGTAAAACTTGTTCTTAAGGAGAAAAAAAATGATGACGAGTCACTAAACCTTAAGGTTAGAGATATTCAGCGATGTTCTCAGTAAGCAGTGTGGTTCTGGGAACCAGTCCAGTTTTGTTTATGGAGTACGCATTAGTGGTATGGTATCTGCTGTCATCCCCTTAACATTGTGTTCTATGGTACTGTACTATATTGTACATGAACATTTAGGGGTGTGCTTGAACTTTATTTTGGGGGGGGGTGGTTCTTTTTAAGCAAGAACAAATTTAATTTGACCCAAATTAAGAACAACGGATTGATAAGATGCATGAGTGGGTGATGTGTCATTTTCAGCAGTCTGACAGTCTAATCTTACAAATGAAAATGATGTATGAAGAATTACAAGATGGCCGCTAACCAACAGAAAACTTTACCTAATTGAAGTTGGGTTAATCTGTGAAATATGTTTTGTATTTAAAGCCTGTAAGTCAATTTTATTTTCTGTAATTTTTACCCACCGTTTGCCGTTACTTTATATACAGCCCCCAGAAAAATTGAGACCACCGCTCAATTTTTGGTTTCACTCATTTCTCAGTTTATGGGTGTGTGCCTGTGAATGATTTTTGCAAACTGCAGCTTGGATCATCCCTGTTTCTCATTAATGAAGGTGTCGGGTAGGGTAGCACCGCTACACTGACGTGGGAGTTTACTGCTGGTAGAGGCGGTCAATATGGACAAGATTCCAGGCAAAGAATCAGGCTCCAGAGGGGATGACTTTAAAGGCAGAATTTATTAAATGGAACTTGTGAAGCAGGATGTCAGGGTCAGCCCATGTTGTCCCATTCTGTGTCCCTTCTCCGTTTGGCCAGCAGGCGTCGTTGGTCATCTCGTCCCGCATGTTGTCAGTCTTTCCTGTCTTCCCGTTGTCAGGTTGTAGTGTTTCCTGTTCCCTGTCAGCCACATGGCTCAACTTGTTGAGTGTATGGTTATCTGTACCCCTCTGTCGCGTGTTCAGATACAGCTTCCTCTGTTTTTGTATTTTGTTCCCTAGTGTTTCATTGTATGAGTTTTTATTGTTCCTGTGTCTTCTGATTTGTATTTGTTTTTGGTTAAATTCTTTGTGCCCGTGCTTGTGTTTCTATCTGTCTATTATTCCCCAGTGTTAGTTTCTGTTTCCCCGTTTCCTTGGTTAGTTCTTAGTTTCCCAGTTCAGTTCCCTGAGTTAATTAGTTTCACCTGTTACCCGTTCTTGTGCCTGCCCTTGTGTGTTTCCTGATTGCTCGTTGTCCTGCATCTTCCCCTATTGGTTAAATGTCTGCCTGCACTATGCCTCGTCCCCACTCCAAATCTGCCCGGATTCATGACACAGGATGTACAATGGATTATAGAAGTGAATACTAGTAATAAACCTGGTATGTAGATGGAGTGTGGTCTGTGGAAATAAAACCAATACATTCAATCACATAGGTGATGTGTAGTTATAAAGTGGCTTATACGTTACAAGCATAGCAGGAATAAAGCGCAAATAGAAATCAACCTTACTGCATTAACAAACTGATCGGTTTAAATGTTTACTGAAATAACTGGTAATTAATAATCAAAACATAAAAAAATAGATTCCCAGCTCCATAATCCCTGTAGTTAGAAATCCAAGCAACCCTAAAGTAAGCCGTTATGAGTGGGCACACATACATTACAGGCGATCATTGCGTTACCATATCAACATAGCGAACGCGCTACCATACAGCCCAAAAAGGTAAATGAACGTAGCACTGTAAATGAAAATATAAGGCAGTTGCGGTCTTACAAACAACATAAATAGAATCGCGAAGTAGCAACAGAAATTAGAATTACAGTACTTACATTACAGTATATTCACTGACGCACAACATCAAGTAAGTGAACTAGGTGCAGGCGCATTAAACATTTCGCTACCGTTGCGCCAATCCACATTGACCGGGTGGGTAAATTAAATAACTACGTTCCCACGGCAGCCTTTTTTGATGATTCATTGCTTTACGGGACTTCAGTCCTGCTTCTAGAAGCCTGATATAAACTTTCCTAGCAGTGCACTTCACACCTGCACTTAATGTTTCCCATTCCTTTTGAAGGTCACCCAGTGTTATCCTACGATTTATAAGAAACTGTCGGGTAAGTTAACGGTCACTTCTGGCATTACCTGGCTGGTTTCTGGTCGTTCACAGTGTCTCCTGCTTCACGTTGTTCTTGTGTGCTGCTGTCTTAGAAAGTTTGAACCTGGAAGCAACCTGGCGGTCTGCTAGCGGTAGCCTTTTGCCAGCAGAACCGCCGTTAAACCAGGACTTAAAAAAGCAGATTTGTTTTAAAATGTAGAGTAGTCTCTCATTTTTTTCTGTGGTTGTAGGTATTTTGTCTCAAATGAAACGCCTTTATCTGAGAGTATCATTCTAAATCCTAATCATCCTAACTGAACTGAACCATCTGCTGTCATGGTAACGGTTCAGATATATGTATGATTCTCTTGTTCTTATGATTGTAATAGTTTGGTCTGTTCTCCAAACATGCTGAAATGATTTCTGTTACGTATCAGTCATATATTATCATTAACTGACACCGATTCATTTGTATTTGTTGATGAATATCGATGGATTGCAAATAGTGCATATGGCATCATACCAATGAAGTGGACCAGTCAAAATTTTAGTGCAGATCATTTAGTGTGATGGTGTATTGTTTTATTTCTGCCCATACAGAGTTACAAAAGCAAGTTTTACTGCAATTTTTGTTCCTTAACCACAGATCCATTAGCTCCACGGTGTGCAGGATAGGTGCAGGACCATCAAATTTCTACAGCCTTTTCTCCATTTTATTTTTTTTCTTAAATTTAATTTTCAGATAAATTTTATCAATGAATCCACAGTATTTTAAGGGCATGGTTGAGTTATTGGTCCATTGGAAACAAAAACTTGAAAACATTTCGATAGTTAACATTTATTTAGCAGAATGACAGCTAATCATCATTGTGGCCTCATGCTGTTTGCACAATATGCAGCTGCAATGAATCACCGTCATTATTCCTTTAGCTCTGAAGTAGATTATAGTAACTGGGACCGTGAGAAATCCAATCTTCTTAAGTTAACCAAACATTATCCTGGGCGCAGATGAGGAGGCAGCAGAATTTCTTAAGGGATTAACAATCAGATTGTAGAAGAGATTGACAAAGATCATGGTAGCTTTGCGTAATGCACAAATGGAGAAAGCTTTCCGGAAGGGTTCACATAGCGGAGGGTTGGAGTATGTGTTCATCTAGGGTTTCCCTATAATTTTTCTTGAAAACATAAAATTGTTTTTGAACATTGAAGAGCAGTGGTAGCATTACAAAAGATATTTTTTTTAATACTGAGAGGATCACTGGATGAATCGCTGGATTCAGGCCCAGCAAACAGCCATCAGTAAAACACAAAGGAAACCCTATCATGACTCAAATGTTAATGTTCCTCAGTCACGTCCACAATGGCAGCTTTGAATTAATTTCTCAAAGGCTTTGATAGTGAGGACAAGTCAGGGTTTGGCGGAAAGAATCCCCTTCACTGTACATCACACATTAACAGGAACAGACACCAGCAACATGCAGGACTCCTGACAAAAACCTACAAATTCTGAATGAATAATCATTAAGTAAATCAAATAATTGCTTTTGTCACAAAAAGCATGTATTTATACAATTTACATACAATCCCTCAGATGTTTATAGATGTCCCAATTCACAGACATTAGTCCCCCTCCTGCATTTACATGCTCCACAGCATGGCCACAGCCTTGCAGATGCCCACGTCGTGGTAATTGAAGTAGCAGAGGCCGGCAAAGGTGACAGCTGACAAAGCCAGAAGGCCTCCGCTGGCCACCTTGACCTTGAAGTCTCCATGAACATAGTCGGTCACCACTTGTCCCAGGCCCCTGTTGAACCAGACAGCACATGGCATTTCTCATTGACTGATATCAAGTCAGACACACTGACTTGCCCTCCCCCCATATCTCGGCCCAGACTGGCACATCGCACCGATGCCCATATCTTGATTTTTTACGAATACTGGCAGTTACCAATATTAACCAATTTATCATCCTGCAAAGCTTCGGGACGTGTCTGCATGTGTCTTACCAGTGGCCATGCAAGGTGAGGGCGGCCGCCAGCGAATAATCCATAATGGGTCCAGGGAACATGTAGGCAGTTGGCAACATACCAAGCAGCATTACGCTTAAGAGTCGCTCCCCTGTCCAGTGCCTGGATGCCGCCTTAGAGCCAGCAACCGCTGTCCAGCAGAGAGACCAAGAGGTTAGCTTGTCAAGCGCTTATAAATGACGGTATCTCCAGAGCCATGGCCTAAAAAAATCAAGACAGCCCTCTAGTGGATGCAGCAGAAACACGCAAGGATGACAAATTCCAACCGCACCAATTCACAAAGGTGCGTTTGTGAGCCGGCCCTATAGAAAGGTGTGCCCGTGACCGGTACGCAAAAATCTTCAAAAGTCGTACGTGCGCAAATCGATTGTTGTGACAGCGCAGATGTCTGCTTATTTTATGTGCATTTGCTCTGATATGAGAAGAAATTATCGTGCATTTTAACCTTTATATGCCAATTCGTACTTCATTTGTGGTATAAAGGTTAAAATACACGGTTATTTCTTGTCATAGCAGCGCAAATGCACATAAGTAGGCATCGCTTTTTGAAAGGTGCAGGGTTATATGATTACCAGTTACCTGTATACCCCCTATAGATTGAGTCTTTAAAATGTTCAGCACACGTAGGAATCAACTAACAAGCAGTGATTACTTTCGAAACGGTAATGCTTTACATTTCTGGTATAAAGGTAGATTATTTGAATTTTAAGTCGAGCAAATTGTCGAAAGGTTAAGAATGAAAAAAAAATAATTTAGGAAAACCAGCTTGACTTAATTACTGTACTTTGGACTCACCATAGTGGGAAGGAGACGCGTGAATATCCGCTGTCAAAAGCGGAACATGATCCTGGACCTTCTTTTGAGCAACAACAGGTCGCAGCAACAGAGAACTTCGAAGAAAGAGAGCTAACGGGGGGTTGGGAGAAAAAACAAGCAATGCGTCTTCTAACCTCAGTTATTTTCATTACGATACAATTCCAGGTTTCATAAATGCTACCATTCTGTCTTTAATGATGTAAAGCACAACATATAATTTGGCAGACCTGATAACATTCACAAAGCTATTTTACATTAATACGGGTAGTACTAGTTCAATGCAACTTACCTATAAATAAACCTCTCAACTGAGAACAAACTCATTCGTAGTGAACCATAAGGCGTTAGGCAGGTAGAAACTATTTTTAACAAAACAAATCCCCACAATTTCCAAGCCCTCAAACACAGAAACCATGAGGAATATTTCGGGGTTTCTATATAACTGAATTTCCTAGACAACTCTGAAAAAGTCTAATCCTGTTTATGAAACAACAGTCCACTACACACCAATTACCTATAATGTATAAAACGCTTCAATTCAATAAGACCACACTGTGTATTGAAGGTGCAAGTCTGACTACGGCTGTTTTAATACCTCTGTCAAGTAAGTGTCCTACAGACAACCTTACACAATCATTTCCTCAATAAAACTAGCTACAATGAATCGGTGCTTCCATTCCCCATGTCCCCATGTAACATGCCAAGTTGAAACTAGAAACAGAATGAGAAACAACTAGACAAAATAATGTATCAAATGAGGGGAGTTGAGACGTGCCATTTTCAAAATTAAATGAGAGTTGTTGTCTAGGTTGGTCTAGGCTCTTCCAACTGTATAGCTAACAATATACAATAGGAATGACATTTTCAAGACGTGGCAGAACAAGTCAATTACTGTATATTATTACGAATGAAAATACATACGTTTGACGCCTTTGTGACAGATGGAACTTATTCTAACGAGAGTCGCCATGATGCACCTCACAACAACCAAGGTTACTAGGTTGACCCGGAAGCACTTTAACGCGCAGGCGCATTCAGACATATTGACGTAGAGATATCCTGCAACTTAAGCATCACTGATTTCTCCTAATACTGAGCTTCAGCCAAAGTGTGTTTTACATTAAAACTAAAGCATCACTGATTTCTCCTAATACTGAGCTTCAGCCAAAGTGTGTTTTACATTAAAACTATAGACGACGCAGCTGAAAAGTTAATGTAGCTGAATATTTATATAGTCCGTTTTTCTAATTTAATTTCCGTAGTCAATATTTTGGCTTCAGCATAAATGACAGAATTAACTGCAGCGAAAATTGCTGGGAAGTAGACTATCTATAGTGCCGTACCGTGTCGTCAAGCAACTTCCGGTGGACCCACGTGAGCCACGCAGACTAGCGTAAAACACAGAGACAAGGTCGTTAGTTTTGTTGTGAAATATAATTTATTCTGTGATTTATAAGGAAATAAAAATACAATACAAAATATACACAGATGTCCGATTTTAACTCCAGCTACAATATGCCTGCCTCAGAAACGGCAGAAACAGCTGAACTACAGAGGATGATTGCCATCGAGCAACAGAAAGCCCAATTTCAGGCGCAGGTACTTTACCCAGTTTGTTTCCTTAAATTGTGAGATTTTTGGAAATTTTTTATTATAACTTTTGATTTTTTTTTTCAGCATTATCAGTGACCACATATATTTCATAACTGGCTAGTTAGGCACATACATAAAGTCAGCCGTATAATTCCTGAATGAGGAGTCTGCTGTTTTAGTGTAAAACTTGTTTAGACCTTTAAATGTTATTTAAATTATATTTGTGGATTATCTACAGCATATCGCACGGACAGAATGCCAATGGAAATCTGTTTTGTTTAGTTTCTAATGAGCCATATCGTTAAAAATGTCTTAATAGACATTAATCGGATGTTGCCATGTTTAATATGATCGGCAGAAACTGAAAACACAAAATAAGCGCATGTCGGATTAAGTGGTGTATGATTAAAATACGACGATTGTACTGCAGGTACACAACTTCACAGATGTGTGCTGGGACAAATGTGTGGAAAAGCCAGGCTCCAAGCTGGATGCTCGGACCGAGACGTGTCTTGTGAACTGCGTGGAGCGCTTCATCGACACGACCCTCATCATCACCAACCGCTTCACTCAGATGGTGCAGAAGGGCGTCCATTGATGAGAGCCCCTACCGCTTCTCACGCTGATAAAACCCATGTGCACGGACTCCCTAAATAGCAGTTTTCATCACGTCATGTGATGTGAGGGGCGAACACTGATTTCGATTAATTTATTCGTCTAGTCCCTCGGTCCGTCTGATTGTGCTGGAATTTATTGAATGTTTTGTTCTATATTCCAGTTTCTCTTTTAAATGGATTTAAAAATTGTAACTTGGTATTTCGGTAGAAATAAAACAAACTTGTTGGGTCGAAAATAAGTTTTCTTACTCTTCATGATATTGTTACTTGTAAATATTTTATGTGTAAGGCAGTTTAATTCCTGACCTGTTGTGTGCACTTTCAGCTTGATCTAAATAATACTTAAATCAGGGGATTCATAACCACCTCTGGGTAGGCACTGTAACCTGCACTGTAACCTGCAGCTAAGGGAACTGACTGTTCACACTGGACATTCTGGTCCTCAGCTCCAGGATATGACCATGCAGATTGCCATGCTTAGTGGTTACAGACATCAGGCTCTGTTTCAGTACTGCTGTTCTGTTTCAGTGATGGCTTCAGTTCACCACCTCAGAACCCGCTTCTCTTGCCTCTTGCATGGGAATTGAGGCTCATTGTCATTCTCACTGGTTTGCTGCTGCTGTGGGTGATTTTCAGAAACCCTCTCACTTGCCTGTCATGCCCTGTGGTTTCCTGCCTCCTACTGTCAGCCCTCAAATGAAATAAAAAAAAAAAAACTTTATTTTCCCCGAGGGGCAATTTGAGGCATGTAGAGCAGTGTCGCACAGACACAGAACCAGACATTAAAGAAATAGAACAAATAAAAAAATAATAAAACATCAGAATAAAAGTAATAATAATAAAGAAATAGAGTAATAAAATAGTTCTCAATATATACATAAGGTGCAAAATTGCATTTGAAAGTAAGTAAATTAACAGACTAACATAAGATGCAAAAATGGGGAGGTCAGTAGGTAGTGGGGAATGAGAATGTGGTTATACCTTTATGGGAATGTGAGAATGTGTTTATACCTTTATGGGGTTTGGTGCATAAAGGCAGAGGGTAATAGTGGCTTCAAGTTCAAATGTTGAACAGCCCTTGGAACAAAAATTGCTCTTCTCCTTTGAGTCCTGCAATCCGGGCAGCGAATTCGGCGCCCAGAATGAAGCCACTCAAATGCTGGGAACAGCACATGTGAAGAGTCCTGTAGGATTCTGTGTGCTGTTCTCAGGGTTTGCAGCTCGCAGAAGGAGGACAGTTCTGACTGGGGATCCAATTATTTCAGAGCACACCTTGACTGTCCTCTGCAGGCGGGTTCTGTCATGCAGAGTGGTGGCATGGAACCAGCAGGTTATTGAGGATGTTATGACACTCAATGAAGGAGTAGTAGAACGTCCTCAAGATGTTCTTGTTGACTCCAAAGTTTCCTCAGGAGATACTGCCGCTGCTGGCATCTCCTTAGAATCTCCTCAGTGTTGGAGGCAAACCTGAGCATACTATCAAAGATAGTGCCCAGGTATCTGTACTCCTCCACAAGCTCTGCAGTCTTCCCATGGATTGTATAAGTGTCAGCCCTGTCTTGTGTACCCTCTCCTTCTGCTGCCTGTTATGTGTGCTGTAGTGTCTGATGTTGTGTTTGTACTTTAAACCCTCACTCTTCTCACTCTGGTGCAGCTAATTCTACTGCGGTCCTGCTGTCCACTCAAGCATTTAAAAAATCCCTATGAAATTGCATTTGAAATGTCGTCATAGATTTGTATGTGTCTAGATCTTTTTTCTTCTGTTTTTCTCCTGTAGTCCAGGCTAATTAGCGTTTCTAAATAGCCTAAAATGCTTGGTTTATGTGTGAATGCATGTGTTCATGTGCCCCGGGATGGGCTGGCATGCTGTCCGCGGCCTTCGCCCACCCTGTGCCCCGTGCTGCCTGTGTATGCATCCTGCAGAGTATGACTCGGGCATCGCCATCTTTTAGGCACAGGAGTTCACCGTGAGCATGCAACTGCAGCACTGCGAATTGTTTGGCCAAACAGCCGGAGTTCATGCCTAATGTGAGGATACCAGAAAAACCAGAGCCCATCTAGACATACCGGAAATGCTTCCTATTGAGCCATCAAGCCCTATGTGCTGATGCTATTTGTGATTGATATTGTACACTGCCATACGTGTTCAAATGTTTGTTTCATTTCAAATATGAGAACTAAAAATGCAGGCATCATACCTAACCCCCTCAGAGGAACTCCAAATATTTGGTTGCTACACATTTATTCAATGGATCTTTTCTCAACATCAAATAATCATAAAAACCACACACAACAAACACAAATAGCAGTTTCAGGTACAAAGGTGCTTTGAGTTTGAAACTACACAGCTTTGGAACTTGTCCTTTGCTGCAGAATTTGACTGCACAGCCCTGTGCCGACCTTGGAGAGCGCAGATGTATTGTGTGATGCGCTGCTCGCGCGGCTGATGGCTATCTGCGCAGACAGTCACGCACCATAGCTTTGGCGTGGATGAGCTGGTCGGAAGTGCGAGTGCAGAAGCGGCCAGCTCACCCCCCCCCCCCCCAAGGGCGCCCCCAACTCCAGCAGCAGAATGACGTCCCTCGGGCCGCTGCAGCCGCCTGTCCGCTTACTTCCTTTTGTCATTGATGTTCTTGGCAGCCCTCAAGGCTGATTTCATGGAGGTCTCTATCCAGCCATGGGGCATTGCTGTGTGTTCTCCGGCAAAGTGGACCCTGCCTTCGTTCTGGAACAGCGCCTTTGAGTACATACTGTACTGGTAGGGTGTGAATATGGCGAAGGCACCATGGCTGAACGGGTCCTGGTTCCATTTCTTGACCACACCCCCAGTGCATAGGTGACGGATCTCCTCGCCGTGGATCTCCACCAAGTATTCCAGCATCATTTCTACGAGCTCACTCTCCTCTATTCCTTCAAATAGGTTGGAGTCGTCCGAATAGGTGTAGGAGGCCAGGAGAGCCCCACCCACACCTGTGAAATTATGGCTGGGGTAGTAGATGAAGCGAGGGGGCAGGTCGGTGATGGTCCTGCCACCTTTAATGCCCTCCTTCTCCCAAAACCTCTCCTTGAAACTCAGAATGACTTTGGTGGAGGCAGAGTAATGCACAGATCTCTGGGCCTCCATTTTCCTTGGTGACAAGGAAGGCTGGAATTTCATGAGCAGGGTGGCCCTGGCCGTGGTTGTCACCAGGACGTAGTCAGCCGTGATGTTCTCTAGGGCAGATTTGTCCGCACTCTCAAAGTAAACAGTCACGTTCCTCTTTGTGTGACTGATGGCTTTCACTTTGGAGTTCATGAACATGCTGCATTTGAGGGTGTCTTTGAGGGCTTCTATCAGCTTTTCAAAGCCACCAGTGACCTCGACATACCTAGAGACACAGGGGAGCATAACATGCTTTGTTTCATTGTTTTTCTTCAGTGTCTAACACTTCGAAAAATGTATGCGTGTATTTCCTGACCCCTAAAAATGGGTGTGCATGGGATTAATTGTGTGGAGCAATTTGTTGGTTAGACTCACGTATTGTTATCACTGATATCAGACTGGATGTACAGCGTCTCAGTCATGGAGGTGTAGAAAAAGCCGTTCTCGTCCAGGATGTCCCCAATCATGCGCAGGGCGCCGCGGCTCAGATTGCCCTTCTGCACCAAGTAGTCCTGCAACAAGCAGCAGATACCGGCCTGTTAACAAAGGTTCGCCATTGGAGGAAATCGCTTGACGTCACCTGGGTACTGTGTGAGAGACCCAGGCAGGTATTATAGCTGTACCTTTGAAATGAGTCTTATGCTTCAATCAGACAACAAAGAGTAGCTTAATTTACATAAAATCTGCAGTAAAAATGTAAGCTATTTTTCTATAGTTGAATATACATGCATACCTACGGCAGAGGATTAGGACCACCCATGAAAATATTATTAGAATTCTGAGATTAATGTCAGAATTCTGACTTTTTTTCTCAGAATTCTGACTTTGATCGCAGAATTCTGAGTTTAGAAAAAAAGTCAGAATTCTGAGAAAAAAGTCAGAATTCTGAGAAAAAAGTCAGAATTCTGACATTAATCTCAGAATTCTAATAATATTTTCATGGTGGCCCTAATCCTCTCCCGTACATACCTATATTATGCTTGTTATCAGTATTTATCTATCTGATACAGATGGAACAGCTTCAAAGCTTCAAGGGGAAAAGGTAAAAATTTCATCCACTGAAAGAACAATTCCAGGGATTATACCTGTACAGTGTAGGAATCATATTTCTTCAAAACTTGTTTGCATTTATATCCACTTTTCAAGTCATCTCTGATCTGTAAAAAATGGAGACAGTTGGCTTTGACTTAAGCTGTTACTTAAAAGATATCGTGTATCTTTTATATTATTGATTTCTACAGTCATTTTTCATTTTTCTGTGTATCGCAAAAAGGTATTTAAGAGTAATTCAGGATAACATAAGCAAGGTAAAACACACACGGTCACAAATAATGTGCGCTGTGTTTTTGAAGATGTTGGGATACTTTCGGGCAAATCGGTCTTTGACGGTTGACGTCACACTCGCAATCGCCGCACTGTATTGCGGGTGGAATCGCGCTGCCGCCCCGCCCGCACTCACCGGCTGCAGAGCGGAGCTGAAGAGCTGCGCCGCCGACTTGCCGAGCTCGTGAGGCGCCACGGGATACCTCAGTACGTCCGGGTTGTCCTTCACCACGCGCGCGAGGATCTTCTTTTGGTTTATAAAATAGTAGGTATTGGGGTTCTCCTCGATGAAAGGGTTAAATTTAACGTTGAGCTTCTTCGCTAATTCCAACAAAATCCTGGAGAAGCAAATACATTCCAGTTCAAAGGGCATCGAGGCACTGACCGATAAGAAGTAATAACTTTAAACTAACAATACACATAATATATACTTTTAAAATTAATAATAAAATACGCATATTCGATGTTGATAAATATTCACATATTCTTAAATAAAAACAATAGACCATATGCACTTGTGTGTCTTGATTCATAGTTAGATTATATTTTATATTGTATTGTTGAAAGCAAATGTAAATACAGTAAGGTAACGAGATTATGTAAATCAGCGCGTGGATGTGTAGAGTAACGGGTAGGCCAAATAAATAACCTGTCTAGAAGGAAAAGCTGTTACCGCAGGCACCGTACTGTACGTATAACAGTCTAACGGTCCGGCTATTTGCCTTAGCTACTTGCTCTGTACTCCTGAACAGGATAGGCGGGCGGATGGATGGATAGATGGATGGACGGACTTGCTCTGTACTCACTTGTGAAATTTGGGGATCCTCATTGCGCCAAATTCCGCATACCATTTTTCATCCTTATTCCTGTAAGTTCTTACCCTTCCACCAATATAGTAGTTCGCTTCTATAATTGTAACCTGGAGATCCAATATAGTTTTGAATTACCATAATTACCATTGCTTTTATTGTGTAAAGTGATTACAGTATATGGGTATTTGTCAATGTTACTATCAGACCGTGCGTGCTTTTCTAACTAAGCTACAAGTGTAGATGATTTTTTACAGTTTGGACATTAAGGAGTGGCAGACAAAGAGCATTGTACCTACCTTATGTCCCGCATCTTCCAGATATTTGGCTGCCGTGAGCCCTGCTACGCCCCCGCCGACTATGACGATATGTCGCGGTGTCTTAGCATGGGGCAGGCCGTCTCTTACAATGTCAAGAAGTTTGCCGTAGTCAGGGTCTTCCAGACATTTCAGTAAGGGGTCAACTTCATCGCCATAAGCATTGTTGGCTCCAACCATGATTGCAGCGATAAACCCTGAAAGAGTCCAGAATTAGATAATTTTGAAAATGTAGTTATGTAATAACCATAAATAGGCGAACGGTACTGTGCTGAAACGAATCAGAAACTAAAGGAAACGAAACCAGTTGCTCAATGAACTGGAATCAGCACCGGTACGTTAATTCATTGTAGACCGTATAACTAATTCGGACTGAAATGTTTTCATTTAATTTGCTTTGGTACTGTTTCGAATCCATTAAGATTTAAACTATTTAGCTATTGTACAGAAAATACGGCATGTAGCCTACAGGAAAAAAATGCATCCCTAAATTACAGCATTAGGTTTTATTTTAACATGGCCATCAGACCCTTAAATTAGTAAATTTAAAATTAGAGTACATATAAGAAGACGATTCATTTCGTAAACTTCAGTAATATTACGGCATCATGAAGTATCAATGTATCACTTACAGAGGCTCATCTGACCCATTGTCTTGGTGTCACGACGCGAGAGTCTGAAAGGCTCATTAGTCTCTGCCCGGTTATATAGACTCATAGGATCACACAATCGAAAGTAAATGTAGGTCGAAACCGACATAATACTTTCTGAAGTTCCGAGTACGCGCTCCGCTGGTCACGCTGAATGGAACAGAGAGATTTGGGCTAGTGTTAAATTTTCCCCTTTCCCCTCCGGGAATTACGCAAGAATTACGCAAAACACATTCAGGTGCTTTACATTTTACATTTACAGTAGCCATGTATAACACACCGTGTTACCTGTGCAGAGCGTCTTCTTTTTAAAGGAAGAAATTATATCATTCTAAATAAACTCCTTGCTGGAACAAATCATCAACTTTCTTTTGTTTCGTTCTTGTGACAGTGAATCATTTCAACTTCCACAAACGCTTACAATTATCTTATTACTTGGAAAATACAGGCAGTGAGCGATTAACTGTTATTAACGATATTTTCCGGTTACCATTGTGTAATTTTATCTCCATGTCAGATTTCCCATTATTTTCAGTCTGGCTTTTTAGGAAGCAAGTATTTCACACATGATGTAAAGATTCATGTACATCTAAACATCGGCATCTGGTATAAAAAGGGTCTGATTTTACAGCATCTGAGAAATGGTGCCATGATGTGTGTGATTGTACCTAATAACAGACACCTTATTTCTTATTAATAATGCGGGAACTATTCATTCATTATAAAACAAATATTTGTATCTTATTCTTTAAAGTTACTTGTATTTCTGTTTCTGTTTTAAGTAAAAGTACAGCTAACAATTTCCTAATTAACAGTATAATAATACATCAAAGTGAAACATGAAATCCAGCCTTTGATTTCGTAAATCACTCAAATCAATGCCAAAGACTGAGGAATAACCAAAGCAAAGCGCTATAAAGAGAAGTTCCGCAACAGTTCCGTGTCAAATAAAAATTCCAGTATAAATGAATCATCAACTGAATAGAAAACATTATATAACTAAAACCAGCACAATGTGAACCGATGTAAATCTAAAATCTAAACTTATGGGCTTATTGTTAATGTTGAAATCATATATAAAAGGGAACGAAAAGAGAAAAAGCATAAAAATGAAAATTAGTGATCTTTGCAAGGCTGCCACATTTCCAAGCAAAATATCCACTTCACGTAGACTCTGCTCTCAAAGACCCTAGACAAGACATTGTTTAGGGGGATGGTATCACAAGATCTCACTTATTCTTTGGAGGTGAGTTGGCTGGTTTCTCCATGGAAATTTCTGTGAACCCCATGAAGTCACACAGACCATGGTGCTCCAGGCATTTTCTGAGCTCAGCCTGCAGGGCTGGCAGGCCAGCAGTAGGAAGCAGGAGCACGAGGCCTGTCCATCCATCCATGTTCTGAATGAGGCCATGGTGGTCTGGACCCCCCTGCCCACAGGCAGCATAAGGCACTTGGCAGGACCACCCACTGGACAGGAGGTCAGTCCATCACTGGACACATACAGTGCTCAGCATAAATGACATTTAAACTTTGAACCATTTCTCAATGATTATGAGGACAATTAGCTGTATTTTTACAAACCAGTTTCATTAAACATTTATTTGTATCAACATAAGAGTATTATCACCTTCTTTACTTCATTAGGATACGAAAAATAATATTTTATTCAAATAAGGTGATGCAAAAATGATTACACCCCAATGTCATTGGAGAAAAATCTGATAAAATTGTAACTAACAGGAATTCACAAACAGATGAATCATAGCAATCATCACACGGGTGGCCACATGATAGTTGGCCACGTGATAGTTCACGGGGGGCAGTGGGCTAAGCTGGGCTGCCTGTAATCAGAAGGTCGCCTGTTCAAACTCAGCCTCAGCACGTCTGCAGGTCCTGGAGCAAGACCCTTAACCCCCAGCTCCCTGGGCGCCCCAAAAGGTGGCTGCCCTTCGCGGACAACTTACTCTACAAAGAGCAAGTTGAGGGAGGCGTAAAGACAATTTCCCCATGGGGATCAATAAAGTATCAATTATTATTATTATTAAAAGTGGTATTTAAGAGAGAAAATCAAGTTCCGCTCAATGCTGACAAAATGGCACCGCATGGAAAAGAAATGTCACAAGACCTAAGAAAATAATTTCTTTGCACGAAAAAGGTCAAGGTTATAAGAAAATTAGTTAGGCGTTGCTGATAAGTTTGAATACTGTCCCAAAAGTCATCTAAAAATCCCAAAAGGATGGACCTGTGGGAAGCTGGCAGAGACGTCGAGGACGTGGAAATAAACACCTCGTCAAGAGCAATTTGTGATGAGGGAAGTTGAAGGAATTTGTAGAAATGATACCGACAGTAAAGCGTGGGGGCGGCAGTGATCTTGTGTGGGGCCGCGTGGTACCGACAGTAAAGCGTGGGGGCGGCAGTGATCTTGTGTGGGGTTGTATGAGCGCTGCAGG